TGACGTGCCCATTTTCATTTCTTCCTGGTATCAACAGCGATGCCTCGAACAACCGTTTGTTTATTTACCAACCTTGCCCCAACTACACCAACTACCTCTTTTATGAAGTCTTCGTTTGGATAACCTTCATTAGGCTCGAGGAACCAGCAGCCGACAGCTACAGTGAACGAAATTTGATGATGCTCACACGCGAAAACGATGAGGATGCATGGTCAGCACATGATAATGATGATGATGTACAGATAAAGATGATGGGTATATTTACTGCCCACACTAATCCCCCTCCCCTGTGAAAGCAACCAGCCTGGCCATGGCAGGTCAAGGGGACAAAGAATGTCGCATGAAGGGCTTAATACGGGAAACATGCATGACCCCAGTAGATCACTAGCAGCAATCTACTGGGGCTACAAGTGCCATCACGCGATGATTTTCGCTGGTGAAGTCTCTTCGTGAACTATGTACGGCCCAATAAACCATGGCAGAAATTGGTCGCGCAAATCAGGTTTATGAATAGGCGTCAAGATGAGCACTTCATCACCAGGTTTAAATAATACAGCCCAATGTGATTCATCACAAACAAGCTTTCTCTATTGCTCTAGTGCTTGAGTTTTTATACAAGCACGTTGGCGACACTAGGTGAGTCTTGAAACGTGTTCCTCTGAAGGGGATGGATATCAATTGGCTTGGTAGGTAAAAAAAACGTCAGAAAGGAAGTAGGATAGTGTCTATAAGCTAGGTAAAATGCTGAGCAGCCTGTTATTCGCTAAATGGCCGCATTGTAGGGGAAAGTGACTAATGGTAGAACTACGCCCCAGTTCTTGTGGTATGGTTGAGTATAGGCAGCAGAATCATCAGTGAGACCGTTATATTGGCGATGATAACTATGTGCGGTCCTGTAAGTGGTGACGGAGATGCGAATAAGTTCATTCAGTAGTTGGAAACAGAAGGCTTTTCCATGGTCACTGCGCAGAACACGTGAATCATCATGGCGCAGCATATAGGCTCAGAGAAAAAAATTGGCCATTTCAAAAGCTGAACCAGTAGTGACGGATGCCGCCATGGCTTAGCGCGTCAAATGATCAGTGGCTGTTACTATCCACCGCTTTCGAGCAGTACTGAGTCGAAGGGGCCATAAAGAGCGACGCTTACAGCTTCACTTGGTGTGACTGTGCAGGGAAGAGGCTAAAGTGCCAAGGCGGGAGCAGATGTTGGTATTTTGGTACATTGGCAGATAATACAGGAGCCGAAGTATCGAATTACACAAGTGATAAAGCCAGGTAAATAAAACCGACTTCGAAGGCGATCGTAAATTTCACGGTAACCAAGGTGACCAACAGTCGAATCGTCATAAAGTGGTCTGAGGACTTCAGAACGAAGCAATCGGGGTATAACTGGAAGCCAGCGCTGACCGTCAGGATGGTAAATTCGGTGGTAGAGCACCGAGTTGTCTAGCTTAAGTTGCGAGAGTTGGCGACGGAGCCTCGCATTAGGTGTACAAGAATTGCCAGTGAGGTACCTTATAATACGCGTACTGTATAGGTCAGCCACCTGTGGAGAAGAAAAATTGTGGTGGTCGTCCGAAGGCAGCTAGTCTGCAGAGGCCAGAAATCAAACGTCCGTATTCGTGGACTCCAAGAGTGTGTTGTGCAAAGTGATTCAGCACCTTGTAAGGAATCAAGGGCGTTGTCGATGCATACCATGAAGAATACGTCTTAGTAATTTTATTGAGTGCCAGGTAATAGACGCAAAATCATACTGAACCATCTTTCTTACGCACCAGAACGGTGGGAGGCAAGCAAGAACTGGTTGAGTGTCAGATTGTCTCCCGTTGCAGCATATCGTCTACGTTTTCCTCAAAGAATTTTTGTTTGGCTAGAGAGATGCGGTACGGACGACGGTGCGTAATGGATGTTCTATCGGTCTGAACTCAATGTGCTGCAGCGGTAGTCTAGCCCAAGGTGAATGAACAGGCGTCAAAAAAGTTTCCAAGCTTCCCCAAGAAATCAAGCAGCTGCTGTTTCTGTGAGTCTGTCAAGTCTGTGATGATGACTGCTGTAAAGACCAAGGAAGCATCATGATCAGCAGAATGGCCTTTAGAGGAGACAGGGTCAACAAACACGATGCACACAGGCTCCAGATTAGCAACGCAGGCCACATTGGTGCTCCGTGGCAGTAAAATTTCATCTGATGGGGAGCTCAAGCAATGAAGACAGCTGCTACTTCGTTGAAGCGAGCCAAACCTGACGCGAGAGCTATGCTTCTATAAGATAATAGGGTGATGGGGTGACCAAAATGTCACCAGAGGCGACGTTGTTCAGAAAAAACGGATAATATTTTTTGCTGTTCAAGTGGTAATAGCTCGATGTCTACAGGAGCGATGAGCCAAAATGGCCTGTAGATTTCGTCGCTGAGCAAGTGGCCTTTGGTCGGTAAGATGTACAGAATATTGTCCCCAACAAATTGCCATGAAAGCAGAAGCAAGAAAGTCCCAGCCTAAAATGAGTTGGTGGGAGCACTGGGATAGCACAGCCATCTCTATATCTGGCAAAGAAAGTCGTTTATTAGCACCCGAGCGGTGTAGGAAGCGGAAGGGTGAATCGTTGTTTCCTGGGATGTAACCAGTGTTGGTCATCGTAAGACGTTGAGACTTTTCGAATGTGGCCACAGAACTCTGCACGATTATTAAAAAATGTAGCCCAAGTGTTCACCAAACCATCAATGTCCACTCCCTCAACTGTGAATGAAATCATATGGTAACGACGCGCTCGAAAAATTCGAGTACTGTGTTAGAATGCAGTTTGTTCTCCAAAAGCTGCATCACTTAGTCGTCCGGATGACAGTCAGAAGATAGGTAGACAGGCTGAAGCGGAGACGAGGAGTGACTGTAGGGCAAGGGTGATGGCGTCGGGTTGATCGACGACTACTGAGCAGTTCATCCGATGCTGGTGGAGATTGAGACTGACTTGGAGCTGACGAATAACGGCTGCCCTCGTAAAACTCTCCTCCGGTAGTGTCCCGTTCGTGCATGCCGTACCCTCGACACTCGTCTTGCTGGCGCTTGCGGCAAAAGCGTAAGATATGACCACTATAGCTACAATAACAGCATGTAGGGCAAGTCGATCACTAAAAAAGGGTAGTAGCTGGCGTTATCTGAACCGGGAGAGAGCGCAGGAAGCGGTGAGACAGATGAAGGCTCAGGAAGCGGTGATGGAAAGCTTGTGGAAGGCGCGGCCTTTATCGGTACACCCGTGAAGACGACGTCGAGCTGATGATACCATGCGAAAATGACAGAGAGTGTGAGCTTCAGTGGCCTTCTGGTGGAGCATGTGGGTCATTGACGTGAGCTCCTCTCTGACGACAATCCGCAGTCACGTTGAACGAGACTGAATAGGACACACTGAAGGTAGTGATAATCTCATTGGATTTAACTGTTAGCGTATAATCACTCTTAATGTGTTCCGCAGGTTTGGATCCACCGTAAGACAAACTGCGTCACTGGCTGGTTGTAGGCGCAAAGACTCGAGTTCGTCGAGGCACTGACTTGTCGCAACATCAGCAGCGGTAGCCGGATTCTGGGTGGTAAGGGGATTGCATGCAACGGGTGCAATTCCCTTAAGAAGCTGGCGTACCTTTTCTGACTATGCCATTTATGTATCAAGCCAGTGGCAAAGTGCAAGAACATCCTCGATGTAGGAGGCATGCGACTCCCCGATGTGTTGTTTCTTAGCCGCGAGAGCTTTCTTTCTGAGAGCCGAATGAACAGCCGGTTTACTAAGCACTTAGGGAAGCTGATCTTTAAAGGCCGGCCAGTCGAAGATGTCAATCAGGTGGTTGAGTACCCACGTCTTCGCAATAATTGTAAAGCAGAAGGAGACGTTAGCGAGTTTTTAGGTGTTATTCCACCGATTAGCCGAGCAGACACGTTTGAAATTGTCGAGAAAGTACTAGAACGTACCTCCAGGAGCTAAAGGGGCCTAGAAGATGATGGGGCATTGAAGAGCATCCTCCACAACGTATGTAGTGTTTGTTTGGATGTTTGGAAGGCCTTTAATAGGCGCAAGGAATTGGCAGTCGACAGCTACGATGAACGAAAAATGATGATGCTCACACGCCACAACGATTAGGCTGCATGACCATCTCATGATAATGCATGATGATAATATACAGATAAAGAGGATAGGTATACTAAATGCCCACAACTTTTATTTCTCACTGCACGATCATCAATTTGTAATGAAGCTTTTATACAAGCCTCCATGTTTCTGCTTTGTAGGTGTACAATGCCTTTAAGGTAAGTTTATATCGCAATAACATGATAAAGAAACATGCGGGTGTTATATACCACTTTTCCTTTCGGGTGATACTAGTAAAATACCAATATATTTTGAGAGTGCTTGACAAAGTTGATTTACCCCCCCCCCTTATTCGTTTAGTTATCAGTCTCAGCTAAGGTTCGGCAGCGTCGTTATTACCTGTTCCAAGTAGACCAAGTCTCTTTCTAGTTCCAGTGCCTCACCACATTTTGCGAAACGCTGTTCTTTTCCGAGACTGTTGCTTGTTATTTTCGTTACATCCAGATTAGTGTTTACACCTACTGCTCTGTTTTCCAAGGCTGGTTCACTTATCTCTCAGCATAATGCATTCCCTGAGTTCAGGTAACGTCAGTACGGCAACGTCATCAGTGAATCTTATGTTACCTAGAAGATGCACACTACTTTTCCTTAACTGTGTAATTTAGTGCTCTGAAAATCATTGTGCGCATTCGCTAAATAGCACTGGGAAGATCGCGCCTTCCTAAGATGCACCTTTCTTTGTAATTGGTAGCATTTTTTACTGGCGACTATAGTGACTGTACTTCCTCTGTAGATTTCTTGCAGTATGGTTCCTTACGTCTTTCGTTGCCGTGATTCCGCCGTGCGCACACCTTTTATGTTTCTGGCTTAAAATACTTGTGAGTAGTGCAATACTTGTAAATAACGTTATTCGCTTCCGTTCTTCAGGTGACGCTGGTTTCTACGACGAGTATGGACGCTTATATTTTTCTGAACGCCTCAAGCAAATGATCAAGTGCATGGACAACCAAGTTGCTCCATCTGAGCTTGAAGAACTGTTGCTCCGCATGCACCCCACTCAGATTGCCGAGGTTTCCGTGGTAGGGCTGAAGCACTCGGAATACGGTGAAGCCCCAGCGGCCGCCATTGTTCTCACAGAAGAAGGCAAGAAGCAAGACATTATCGCCTTCGTCAACGACGTAAAGGCCACTGTTGCAAGTAAGTAGCGTGGAATGACCATGTGTGTCTCCTTTCTTTTTTCCTGCAGAAGTGATGTTCTCTCTAAGATCACCGAAATTCTCTTGCACTCAGCAATTCAAGGATGAATCCGCGCGCTTTTCTGTGTTCCGGTTGGGAGTTCTTGAATACTTTTACCCTTCGACTTTGCTTAGCTTAGAAACAAGCGCTCCAGCACTTTGAATATTTTCGCCCTTCGGCTTTGGTTATTGTCGAAACAAGCGCCACAGCACTTGTAGTTCGATTCAAGCAAAAGCACGACTCAGTTGTTCGTTAGATGTTGCGTATTTCCACGAAATTTCTTGAGTCGCCTAAATAACACGTGCGAAATCACGCAAATGTCATGAATCACTTTTTATGGCCATTAATTTTAGAGATTGGTAGATAAAGTGAGATTTAAGCATTTCATTACCAGTCTGCTCTTGTCGTGACAGCCAATTTGCTTGACCACAACAGACCGACCATAGCGGTCGCATGCCAATGAAGGCGAAATGCCAGAGGCACATATGCGGTTTGTTGTCAGAGCGCGGTACAGAGCGCCAGATATTCCATATTTTGAAAGCCCTCCAGTACTCGTTCCTCATAATCATATTGTTGTTTTGCGATGGTAAACTACAGATGTTATTTTAAATTAGGCGGTATAAGCACAACCACGCACACGCGACGACAGCGTTTTCGCCTATGAAGTGGCTGGCTATTAGTGGTTCGTCTATTACAGTGTAAAAACAAGTATTACGTTAGCATGCAAACTTCGACAGAAGTGATTCATGGTCAACGGCGCTCACCATGTTTCAGTGTTATGTTAGAGCGCGAGCATTCTCCAACGTAACAATGAGTTTCGGGAGGGGTCCTCCCTTCATCAGGAGATGAGTTCACGAAGACTAACTGGCCCATTGAATATATATATATATATATATATATATATATATATATATATATATAACAGCCGCAGCAGCCTTGCTGCATCAAAGAGAACGACGACGACCGTTGTTGCTGGTACTTGATGAACCGGCGCCATCTTGTTCGCCGAGCTCTGTGCATCACATATAGTTTAATAGATAAGTTACGCGTAACATTATTAGTTGAGGTTGAAGACTCCCGTACCTCGATGGAGACGCGCAGCGGTCGCAACACCGGTGACTCTTCGGCTACTTCAACTGGCAGTACCTCATCACCACCGGCCTCTCCAGCCGAGTTGACAACGTACGTCATCCTCCCGCCCCTTCCAGATCCTGGCATTTTCTTCGCTGATGGTACCGTTGACGTCGACTCCTAGCTGCACCGGTACGAGCATGTCAGTGCTACCTACCGTTGCGATCCCACGCTCATGCTCGCGAATGTTCTGTTCTACCTCGACGGCACGTCGCAAACATGGTTCGAAACAAATGAAGCTGAAATCATGAGCTGGGATCTCTTCAAATCAAAGATGCGTATCTTTTTGGCGATTTATCTGGTCGTCAGCTCGCGGCAAAGAAGGCTCTCGCCCATCGTGCCCAAACGTCTACTGAGTTGTACTTCTCATACATTCTTGACGTTTTGGCACTTTGTAGCAAGGTCGACCACCGCATGTCAGAAGACGAGAAAGTTCATCACGTCCTCAAAGGAATGGCTCCCGATGCCTTCAGCCTGCTGATTTTTAATAATGTCACGAGCATCGACACGATCCTGAAGGAATGCCGCCGTCTAGAACAGACTAAAGCCAGCCGCGTCACCCAAGGCATCACGCGCTTGCCGAACACAGTGGCTACTTTCTCATGCGATCACGCCTTCGAACAAGTTCCTCGATGTGACAACCTCACCGGCATCATTCATCATGAGGTCGAGGCAACCCAACCATTAGTCTCTTCACTCCAAACACCTGATCCTTCACCGACCACGATCTCACTGATGCAAGCCGTGGTTCGTCAATAATTATCGAACGTCAGCCTACATCCTGTTCAATCAGTCTGCTCTGCCGAACCTTTTTATCGTCGTCCCTCCGCTCCTCACTTTGGTTCCAACTACTCTCAACAACACAATTTGTCCGAATGGCGTACACTAGACGACAAGCCCATATGCTTCAACGGCCGACGCGTCGGTCACATCGCTCGCCACTGCCGCAATCACTGGGCTCCACCTGCACACTATGGGCCTCCCCCCAGGCCGCTTCTGTCCACCAGTCATGCTCAGCATTTGATTTTGATTCCCTTATGCCGACCACATCCTCTGATTCTGCCTCACCTCTGACGAGACCTCGCTACGCCCGCTCACAATCCCCTGCTCGCCGTCAATCTCGTTCGCCCCCGCAACGCCGTCTTGCCTCTCCGACCTATTCGCAGCACCTCCGACCTGAATCCTACACTCTAAGGCAAAGTGGTGTTAAAAGGGTGTGTGGTTCGTCCTTTTGGAGACTAATGGGGCTGCCACAAAGATTAATCTCTTTAAGGACTAACAGCACCAGGTCTAACAGTTAGACCCCGCACACGAGCTCAAGGGACTAACATTCAGTCCTCACATTTACGCTTCAGTAACTGTTAGTCCCACAATTGACCTCAAATGACTAACATGTAGTCCTCACAATTGTACCTTATAGGGCCACTGTTAATCCTCACACTTGCACCTTAGCGGGCAACCGTTAGTCCTCACAGTTGCACCTCGCCAGACAAACTGCTGATTCACTCAAATACTCCAATCGGATGAACTTTTTATCTCCAGTGCAAACATTGTTTTTTTGTTTATTTTCCACCATGCATAATATTTTTTCCCCTGTTTTTCTACGCCGTGAGCAACGAACAGCGCAGAAAAGAACACGCAAAAAAGTAGTTCGCCACCTATGTGCAACTGCTTTCGCAGTCACGGCAACAACGAAAGACAAAAGTGAGACATCGAAATGTTTTATTTTTCTACATACACATGAAGTTCCTCCAATCTCAAATGAATTCATGGTGAAGTGTACTAGTCCAGTGTTGTTGTCACACCTTGTTCACTACTTGTGGAGCTCCTCCCACGGAAGCGATAGATGACAGGCATTGCAGACGCCAGCGCACACAGCCTTCTGCCTGTGGTGTTCCCATGGCTGTACGTACAATAAAATAGTAAAAATAGTTTGACACATGTGACAGAAAATGAACATGCACGCATATGACAAGTACGTGCAAGTTAATATAGAAACATGCGTGTAAAATATGAGACACAAATAACTTTACCTTCACATCTCGCACAGTCCTTCTGAAGCTGCTCTGACGAAAGAGATGGATGACAGGCATCGCAGATGCCAGTGCACACAGACTTCAGCAAGGTGTGTGCCCACGACTGCAAAATAAGTGTGTAACATAGTGAGTCACACGTGACCGAGGATGAATACTAATGGATATGAGAAATACGTGCAAGGTGAAATAAAAACATACGTGAGATACTACATGCCAGTAATATCACCATGATGTCACTCATCGTCAGACTCATTTCGATCCCCGCAGCGCAACAGCTTAGGAGCGGCGGCCGCAGCCACAATTTCGCGAATCACCGTGTCGCCAAGTCGGCGAGTCTTAAGCGAGCGACGTCGTTCAGCTCGAGCTAGCGAACGCGAGACCAAACACGGCACTGAACTCGGAATGTCTGCCGCCAGCGAACTTCACACAGCAGAGAGAGCCTACGCCTGGCCGCCACCAGGAACAACGCCGAGCTCATTTGGAGCTAGCGCCGTAAAAATCAGCGCTAGGTCATTTGGAGCTAGCGCCTTTGGAACCTGAACTTGGCAACGTTTAACGCTAGAACCTTATCAAGTGAAGGAAGTCTAGCTGTTCTATTCGAGGAGCTAGAGGGTGTTAAATGGAATATAATAGGGCTCAGTGAGGTTAGGAGGACAGATGAGGCCTATATTGTGCTACAGAATGGGCACGTCCTTTGCTATCGGGGATTGGCAGACAGAAGAGAACTGGGAGTGGGTTTCCTAATTCACAGAAACATAGCTGGCAACATAGAGGAATATTATAGCATTAATGAAAGGGTGGTAGGTATTGTAATTAAACTGAATAAAAGATACAAGATGAAGGTAGTACAGGCTTACGCGTCTACATCCAGCCATGATGACGCTTCAGTTGAAAGCTTCTATGAAGACGTGGAATCGGCAATGAGTAAGGTAAAAACACAGTATACTATAGTGATGGGCGACTTTAATGCAAAGGTAGGGAAGAAGCAGGCTGGAGACCAGGCAGTAGGAGATTATGGCATCGGCACTAGAAACGCCAGAGGAGAGCTACTGGTAGAATTCGCAGAACGCAATAATTTGCGGATTTTGAATACTTTCTACCGAAAACGAGAAAACCGCAAGTGGACATGGAGGAGCCCTAATGGCGAAAATAAGAACGAAAAAGACTTTATAATGACTGCACACCCAGGAATTGTGCATGATGTGGAAGTGGTTGGCAAGGTACGATGCAGTGACCATAGAATCGTACGGTCTCGAATTCGCCTAGACTTGAAGAAGGAACGACAGAAACTGATACGCAAGAAGCCAATCAATGAGCTATCACTGAGAGGGAAAGTACAGGAATTCAGAGTGTCGCTGCAGAACAGGTACTCGGCTCTTAGTGAGGAAACCAACCTTAGCGTAGATACAATAAATGATAATCTAACGAGTATCATTACGAAGTGTGCAGTGGAAGTTGGAGGCAGGGTAGTTAGACAGGACACTGGCAAGCTTTCCCAGGAAACGAAGAACCTAATTAAGAAGCGTCAGAGCATGAAAGTGTCAAGTACAACAGACAAAATAGAACTGGCAGAGCTTTCAAAGTTGATTAATAGGCGTAAAGTATGCGATGTAAGAAGGTATAACATGGAGAGAATTGAACACGCTCTGAAAAACGGAGGAAGCGTCAAAGCAGTGAAGAGGAAACTTGGGATAGGCAAAAGTCGGATGTATGCACTAAGAGACAAAGAAGGCGAAATAATTACCAATATGAATAGGATAGTTAAAATAGCGGAGGAGTTTTACAGAGATCTGT